TCAGTTGATTAAAATAAAATCAGCTCCAAAGGAAATTGTAAATGAAGACATTTTATAAGCATTTCTTCCTTCCACTCTGTATTTTTCTTTTTTTTTTTTCTTTTTCTTTTTGGGTTTATTCCCAGCAATGCTCAGGGACTACTTCTGGGTCTGCACTCAGGAATTACTACTGGTGGTGCTTGAGGGAACATACCCGGAAGCCGGGGATCAAACCTGGGTATACCTCGTGCAAGGCAAATGCCTTCCCCACATACTATCACTCCGGCTGTTTAGTCTTTTACTTTCAGCTTTGCAAAACTATATTAAGCCTGAAATTACAACTTGCATTTAAAAATATATATAACTGAGAAAAGGCTTGGTCCAGCAGATAAAACTGAAAAAACAAAACACTATTAAACACTTGTGGATGTGTGGTGGAAATGGACTAATCACAATCCGATTAGGTGTTTTCTGCTTGCTACTAGCTCAGCTCCAGGGGATCAGACTCCCTGCCCAGTGAATGATTTTTCTTTCTTAGTTTAAAAAGGAATTGAAGGGATAACTGATTTCCACTGTCTGTCTCTATGGCAACTAGTTCCCTAATTCACCTCTTAGATGGCAATTATACCTATTCAGTGAATGACTTTCAGTCCCTACTTTTATGATGACAAAAAATGATTTCATGAAAAATAACATATAAATAATAGGTGAGCTTTTCCCCAAGCACACGTGAAGTGCAGTTTTAAGCTGTATTATCATTTATTATACCAAGGTGATACTTTTTCTTTTCCAATTGTAGGATGTGCATCCAAATTTCTTTCTTCTGGTTGCTTTGTCTATAATAAAATATTATTCTTCTCTCCCTTAACATTTTTTGTACTCAATTGTGAAAATTGAGTTCACCATAGCTAGGTAAATACATGTGTGTGAATATGTAAAAAAGCATAAACAGGAAATAAAATATTTTATTTTAATAAAATAATTTAATTAATTTATTTTAAAATTATCGATATTAATATACTGTTATCATTTTAGATATAAATGCAATTTAAGTATGAATTTTTGTGGCCAGAGCTTTTTACAAAACATATTATGGATAGTTTTCCATTATTGAGTTTTCTTCTAATACATGAGTAAAATGACTTCAAAGCTGTCCACAATATGGTTTTACTGTATTTTATATAATTCCTCCATATTGAAAATATTCAACAAAAATATATATAACATATACTTCACCATTGGCTTAGACTATACCCTGAACAAAAATATATAGAGAAAGTGAGAGAAAGAGTGAGAAAGAGAAAGAAAAGAGCCTGCCATATGGCCAGTCTGGGGGTAGGGGTTGGAAGGAGGGAAACTGGGGACATTAGTGGTGGAAAATATTCACTGAAAGGACCAATGTTGGAACATTCTTTTTTTTTTTTTTTTTTGATTTTTGTGTCATACCCAGCGATGCACAGGGGTTACCCCTGGCTCTGTACTCAGGAATTATTCCTGGTGGTGCTCAGGGGACCATACAGGATGCTAGGAATTGAATCCGGGTCTCTGCATGCAAGGCAAATGCCCTACTCACTGTGCTATAACTCCAGCCCTGGTGTTGGAACATTCTATGACCAAAACTGTAGGATAACATTGTTTTGTCCTTCTAGCATAGCCTCATGTAGTTTAGGTTTATTGGCTTGCTCCCATCACAGTGCTCCCATTCCTCTGTGTTTATTTGTAACTTCTTTCTTTGTGCTCTGTTGACTTGTAAATATTGTTTTTCTCTTCTTCTTACGTCCTTTGCATAGTTTATTCAGAGCAATGTCCTTTATGTGTGGTCATAGGAAGACAGTAGTAAATGCTATACTTTTGTAACATGAGAGTCATTTGACTCTAAATTATATTTTCTTCCTGGGCATCTGTTCTTTCGACCTAAGCCTCAGCTGCCCTTACTTCCTAGCACCCCCAAAAGCAGGGTCCCGATGAGGGACTGGATGGAACCGTGGCAAGCGGTAAGCTATGTGCTACCCTGGCATTGAAATGGGCCTTGCCAAAGTGCCATATTGCTTGACTATAAGTTAAGAGCTCGGTCATGGACAAATGCTGTCATGATCCAAAAATGAATAACTAGATTTTGACCCTGCTAGGGTTAGGAAAGATTAATCTGGCCTGAGCTCTGTTGTGTGAATCTGTGGCAAGATGTTCCCAGGAGAGCTGCCTCACAAGCCTCAATGTATCTTTTACTGTGTCCATACAAAAATAACTAGTATTAAGATGTTGATTGAATTATTGGACTGAGGAAAGAAGAAAAGCACTGTAAGAGACATTTTGCCCATGGGCAGTCAGAGAGGGCTTTTTTATGTTGATTTTGCTACCTGACTGGGTATAGGCACAGAGTGCTGGAGTGGAGAAGAGATGAGTTGGAGAAAGATGAGAGAGAAGAGAGAGAGAGCAGGATGCCAAGGTGGAGTGTTGAGAGACTTAGCAAGGGGGACGGAGGGCAAAGAATGTAGAAGAATACTGGAGTAGGCAATGGAGAAAGAGAGCCCATTCTACAAGAGGGAGTGCCAAGAGATGAGCGGGTGAGACAGGAGGAGACAAGAATGAGGGGCACTGTCAGACTAGAATGGGGGCTCAGAGAGACTAGAGCAGGTGCATGGGGAGAATGGAATAAACGGCAACTGATCAATCAACTGACTTGGCCCTCATTTCCTCCTCTATCTGCCCCATGGCCTGGGCTGCCCCTAGCCACCCCAAACCCGTGCAGCTAGGGGAGAGCCGTCGGGGCCTTCCTGATCACCCACGGAGATTTTATACACAAAAACTAAATCATGAACAACTTTGCAGCTATGTATCTCACGATGATTTAATAACAATAATTTAAAAACTATATTGCCAAATCTCTCCAAAGAATTATGGCGAGAGACAGTGCAAAGATTGGAGTGACCCCTTGTTTGCAGATGCCCCAAGTTCAATTCCAAGAACTTCATTCATGCCTCCCTCCCATCCCTCAGGACCATCAGAATAATCCTGGTGGCCTCCAAATACTGCTGACCAAGCACTACAGGGCCCTGGCACTGAAATGTAAGGCTAGCACTCTCCAGCCAAGGATCACTAGGATTAGACCCTGGAACTCTTGGGAGTACCCCCTCCACACCAGAGAAAAAGTACACAAAAAAAAAAAAAAACACCAAGGGGGTATGGTGCTGCCAGCAGGTCAATCTGTACCTGGGAGGAGAGTGCATCAGCAACCTGAGAGAGCATTCAAACTTCCGGATACCCAAAATTGCTGTTGTGCCTTTGGCCAGACCCAAAAACTTGGGGCAGTTTACCAAGAAAGTAAACGGCCAAAAGTTAGGTATGTGGGAGACATACCCACAAACCACCTCCGGCTCAGCTATATAATCGGAGGCATGGCATCTCTGGTTCCTGATCTAACTGTTAACGGCCATGATCCCAGAGACTCAGAAACAAAACTTGAAACCCATGGCTTTTGGCAGGAATGCATCCGGTCTCTGCAGTAGGTTACCGGTGCAGGGCCACCCCAGGTGGGAATAGGTTTTGTGCCTTAGCCTGTTCACCCTGGCGGCCTTGTGGCCGCCATCCTCCAGAGGCCACTGGACAGTCAGGTTTGGGCCCGCAGTGATGAGACATGCAGGGCCTCAAAAGATGGGGGTCGAGCCAGACCTTTCCTCCCCACCCCAACGAAACCCCGAGTTGCCGCCCACGAACAGCCTCTCTGGCTCCTGATCAAGCTGCTTAATAGCCATGATTCCAGAGACTCAGAAACAAATCTCAAAACCCGGCGGCTTTTGGCAGAAATGCGTCCGGTCCCTGCAGTAGGTTACCGGCACTGGGCCACCCCAGGTGGGAATAGGTTTCGTGCCTTGGCCTGCTCCCCCTGGCGGCCCGGTGGCTGCCATCCTCCAGAGGCCACTGGACAGTCTGGGCCCGCAGTGACGAGACATGTGGGGCCTCACAGGATGGGGGTGGAGCCGGCTCTTTCCTCCCCACCCCAACGAGATCCCTAGTCACCGCCCACGAATGGCCTTTCTGGCTCCTGATTAAACTGCTTTAACAGTCATGATCCCAGAGACTCAGGAACAAATCTCGGAACCCAGCAGATTTTGGCAGAAATACCTCCAGATTTAAGTGTTAAAATTTCATAATTTCAAAATTGCACAGCCACTACTGCAGCCGTGCAACATCATATGTTATTCTTAACCAACAATAGAAAACAAATTGTCTACTGTTGCCTTTTCAGTAGATCTGAGTGTTGGGGTAAAATCCCAAATAATAATGGTGGGTGTGGTGTCAAAATATTGAATGCGATCAAAGTAAGAGAGGGTAATGTGGAAATCATCTGCCCCACAGGTAGGGGGAGGGTGTGGGATGGGGGCATACTGGGGTTTTTGGTGGTGGAGAAAGGGCACTGTGAAGGTATGGGTGTTTCATTGTATGACTGAGACTTCAACTCAAAAGGTCTGTAACTGCTCTCATGGTGATTCAAGAAATAAAATTGTAAAAAATGAAAAAAAATGTAAGGTGTAGTTCATGCCCAATTCAATCAACTAATCAGTGACCAATAAATAGCAGTACTCCCACATAAAAAAAATACACCAATCATTTCTCACTATTTGGATGGAGCTGGAGTGATAGCACAGCACGTAGGGCATTTGCCTTGCATGAGGCCGACCTGGATTTGATTCCTCCGTCCCTCTCGGAATGCCCAGCAAGCTACTGAGAGTATCCCGCCCACATGGCAGAGCCTGGCAAGCTCCCTATGGCATATTCGATATGCCAAAAATACTAACAAGTCTCATAATGGAGACTAAGAGGAAGTTGAATTGGCTAGCTCTGCCAGACACCCCAAATCTAGGTTTCAAAGGCAATCACACTGTACTGTATTATTCATTACAATTCCACAACATAATCCTGTAATATGATGTCTGTCTCTCTCTCACACACAAACAAACAGAGAGAGAGAGAGAGAGAGAGAGAGAGAGAGAGAGAGAGAGAAATCTAGGGACATTTCTCACCAGATCATAAGCAGCCAGCATCTTTTTCTGCACATCTGGAATTGTTCCCAGAGGTTCCAGATAAGGAAAGTTGTCTTTCATCACAAGAGACACTGAGGGAGTATTGTCACTAGTGATGAGTCGAGAGGACAGGGTCAACAGGCACTGTTTCAGACTGGCAATTGGAGGAAGTCCACATAGCTCCTTGATAGACACTATGGCATTCTGTAGGAAAGAAAAAATATACAATTGCACCATTAACCTCATGTCACATCACCCCCCAGCATTTCTAGTCTTACATAAAAGTACTAAAGCATTTATTAAATTATATCTTTATAAAATGGAGAGGAGAACTGAAAGTAAAAAGAGGTCAAATGGACAGTGGTGGAGGGATTTTGGTTGTGGGTGATGAACATCTGTGGTAACATGGTTTTTAAAGGAGTACAAAATAAAACTCCATAACACTGGTCTTGTAAACCAATGTTATTTCAATAAAAATAAATGTACAGTCTTAAATACATAAATATCTGGGAGTAAAATGGACTATAATCAACCAACATATAGAGTGAATTCCACATTACACTCAGCAACTGCCACAAAGAAAAATTGATTGTACTCAGGGCTACACAGTATTTCAGCGTAGAGTGCTGGAATACACACACAAATTAGCACTGGCCAATCATGAATATCTTATTTGATTTGTATCATGATGATCATAAGAATATATTATTGTTAGAGATTGGAGTGCATTTCATTTGGGCTTTTCCCCTCAAAGGAGCAGGCTGTTATGATTCACCGCCCTCCATCTATCTTCCAAATTCCCTTGCAATTCCATCAGAATTGTACCTGAGCAACATATATACTGAGACGTAAATGTAGATATACATTTACCCATGCTACAAGACTTTTAAAACCTTGCTTGAAACAGGAATTGTCACAACTTCACATTTTATTAACAGTGAACAAAAGCTGAATCATTATGTTTCTTATGTATTAAGAAAATGTGATGGTGTTCATTTATTTAGTTGGTAGGTTTCAAATAATATTATCTAAAAGACTCTATCTTTAGAGGCTATACATTTTCAGTATTAGAATCTGTACCACAATGTGCTACAAAGAAATCTTTGCCCAACTCTTTTGAAAAGTATTTTAAATGCAATATTTGTAAAGCATTATATAGAATTATATAGAGAGAAATGTAGAAATTAGAGAAATATAGAAATTATATAGAAATTATGTAGAAATGTAGAAAATCTACTTCTATATAAAGTTGGGAACAGAATGGAGTAATCATAACTAATCAAGTATAGTGATTTACAATGATAGAATTATATCAGAAAGTCAGGTTAAAATTATAATGTTGAAAGCCTTTTCAAAATAAAATAGTGGTTAAGGCAAATATCCCAAGTTAAATGATTGCAATATAAGTATCTATATATAAATCTGGTACCATAGTCTCCCTATAATTTGGGGTACTTAAAATTTATTTTAAAGCTATTGCAAAATTTTTTTACAAAATATTAAAAACATTTTACCAAGTATGGGTTTGGGATTCAGCATCATATGACTAAAATCATGAATGATCAACAGTAATTGTGGATAGCCCCACATGCTTTTTGACTGCAATATTAGGAAAATTAATTACACTCCTCATGCTTGTTTTTTATCTTCCAGGTGGGAAAATTGGGGCCAGGATTATCATTAAATTGTGAGCTACAGGAGTAAATAGAGTGCTGTGGAAAAAATCCTCAAAAAAAAAATATATATATAGGTTTGCCTTTTTCAAGCCCGGTTCTCTCGCGAAGAGCAAGCCGCAAGCAGAGACAGAGACAAACAAGACAATAACACTCGTCTCACTTGTCTATGTCTCTTTGCTTGCAGCTTGCTTTTTCATGTCTGTGTTCTCCCTTGAGCACATATATTTTTATGTCTCTTTCCTTGCCTGTTTGCTTGCTTGTTCTTTAAAGCTTGTATTTTCTGTAAAATACATATTCCTTTCCTTCTCCCCCACCCCCACAATAAAGTTTTGTTCAATAAAAACTACCTTGCTTCACTAAAAAATAATAACATAATATTCTAATTTTTCATCCATAGACTACTGCCGCTTCTACCAAACAGAAAATCTAAACAGATTGTAGGAACTGCATAAATTCTTACTGTCATATTGTCTCATAAATATCAGTCTACAATAGGTTTATTAAACATACTGTATGAAAAAGTTGGCAGCCATCTCTGACTATAAGTATTGATGAAGAGAAAGAAACTATTGAATTTTTAGATACAAAACTAAGCAATTTATATATTCATTCACTAAATTTTCATAATGATCCTGTGAAATATTACTGTTCATTAGCCTGGCAAATTATCCGTGATGTATTCAATATGCCAAACACAGTGACAACAAGTCTCAAAATGGAGACGTTACTGGGCCCACTCAACAAAATCGATGAACAACAGGAGGACAGTGCAGTGCAGTGCTACTCTATGTTAAAAATAATAATTGATATATGAAATTTTATTTCAAGACCACATGTGTAGAATTGCATGCATGAGATTTGGGCCACACATGGCAGTGCACAGGGCTTACTCATGATTTTATGCTTAAATATCACTCCTGGCAATGCTCGGAAGACTATATGCAGAGCTGGATATCAAACAGAGTCAGCTGTATGTATCAAAGGAAGGCACATTATCCCGGTAGTGTATCCCAACCCTGGGGATAGAATTTTTATCCAAAGTACAAATTCTTTGTACTAAGTCACATTTCTAAGAGAAGATTAAATAATTTGCAGGAAGTTCAAATGCTCAATCATTTTTAAGGTTTGTTTGCTTTTGTGGCAGTAATTTATTATTGTTAAAATTTTAAACAACTAAAAATAATCACTGGTAGTACATTTGTTTTCTATAACTTCAAGTTCCTTTTCATGACTATATCTGCAAATATTTTACATATATCTGTACTTAAAATTAGTATGCATGTATTATATATTATTTTATGTATTACACATACATAGAAATTTTCATATTCTTTTCACAGTGTTTTATATGCACATCCTCATATATTAGTCTGGCTTATGTATTTGGGATATTTAATAGATATATAGTATTTTGGCATATGGGTACATGTGATTAGCTCCATTCAAGCCAAATTTATAAATCGCATTATGAATAATTTATTTATACATAACATTAATAATTAGAAACAATATATATTCTTACAGCAAATACTGAATTAATTCAGTGGTTATTCGATTTATAAACCCAACTAATTACTTTTTTAAGGAATCAGATCATTCATTAGTAAAACATAATATTCACCAATAAGAGAGGAATAGGAGAAAGCAGGAGGAGAGAAGCAAAATATATGAGATTTTCTTACCTGCATATTTTCTCTCATATCTATGGCTTCTCGTAAGGGATGAACAGCTATTTTAAAAATATCGTCTATGGTTTTAAGACCAATGTTCCTGAGCATTGTATATTCCCGCACTTTCTTCCCCATTCTTACTGAAAGGCTGCGCTTCTGTGCTTTCCCTCCTCCACTTCGATTGGTTATTGCTATGTGGACAAAAAGGGTAACATGCTCCATGATGTCACCCACAAAGGAGCGAAGCGGAACATGCCGATATCCAGGCTGCAAGCATTCAAATGGTATAGTATATTGTCCTATAAACTCATCCCCAATGTAGTCATCATCCAGAACAACAAAACGAATCATGGCCAGTTCAGGTAGGTTCACTTGAAACTCAAACGTCTCATCAAAAATGGGGTTATCACTATTTTGTTGTACCGTTTTAGTTCTTTGCTCTGAACAGTCTGCTGGTATCCCATGTATCTCAATGCAAACATAAGGATCTATAACATCACCTTTGGCACAAGCTCCTTTGGGCTTTGGAAAATTCTGACCACTGATGATCTTGATATGAAGAGCTAGAGGAGACACCCCAGGTACAATGCCCTTTGTATTGGCACTGAAGTAAGAAACTTCATCCCGCATGATAGATGGCCTTAGAACATAACCACACCCTCCATTCTGAAGAAACCAGCCTGTGTGAAGGTCCATCATTGGGCCCGGAGTCTGGAAATTCATGGCTACAATTTGACAGCCGCAGTTCCAAAAGTCTTGTGGATTCAAGTTACTGGAGTCAATCCTCATGGCACTTGGATAAATTCTTGATAAGAACTTCTTATTATAATTTACAAAATCCTCTGGGTATTCATTTGCAATTCGACTGGCCTCTGTTTCACTAAATGAACACATTTCCCAGTAGTTTTGGCTTTTCATAGACACTTCGAAGTCTCTATATTGAACAGATTTACAGATTGACACCATATCAGAGAGCTCCTTACACAACCAGATTTGTTTCTGCTCACCATTGTAATCAGCGGACATCCTCCGAGACATTTCAGCTTCTTCATCTTCATCTGTTACTTCTCCTTCTAAAACATCTGGATCAGGTGGCAATTTCTTTCCCTTAACAATGATCATTCTTTTTAGTTTTTCTGGTGACGGAAGATAGGATTCTGATGATAAAGGTGCTTCAGTATAGAGTTTATCACCAAAGACCATTTTCATCTGTTGAACCATTATCTTCTGCTGCGGTAGGGAGCAATGATTCCCCAAGCAAAGAATGAGGGGATATTCAGAAGCAACAAAAGCAAATTTGTTTATCACCTCAATGACACTTCGAAAGGAAAGGTGTGTTGTCATATTATTTCGATTGCAAAGGATAGGTTCATTGTCTGAACCATCATTTACATCAAGTTCAATGCTTCGACAGCCCATTTTCAAAGCTCTAACATACCCATTAATATCAGCTGGACCCCTGAATTGGTCTTCGATGAGATAGGTGTTGTGAGAAGCATTTATATAGTAGTGAGATAATGGCTGGGTCATATCTTGGGCAACCTTTTTCTGCTCGGGATCAAAAATGTCACATTCTGGTGACAATAAATACTGGGTAAAGCCATCAATTGCAAGAAATCCTTTCTGACGTCCCTCTTCAGAAAGTTCATATCTCCGAATTATGTCCAAGCACATATCCTCAGTAATATGGGTAACACCCTGCTCTGCTTCTAAAAAGAGCATGAGATCATTGGCATCCAAATATTCTTTGTTTTTCGATATCTGTACAAGTAAGAAGTACACTTCTGGTCTGGTGCAAAGTTCACAAAAAGCTTCACAAAATTCTTCTTCTGTCACTCGGGTAGTAAGTTTTTCCTTGCTCTTTTGGATTTCTTTAAACTTCAACCTGATTTTGGATTCCTTTAGGGTAGGATTGAGTTGTTTTATTAACTCTACAGAGGTGTCCTCCAGCATAATTCCATTCCCATCAATGTCTGCTGCTTCAAACACCGTTTTCAACCACATGTACCTTGGTGTGTTCTGGTTGTCCTCCATAAAATCGAGGGGTTGCTTACTTCGGGAAACCAGGTACCGTAGCCCTGAAACCCAGATGTTTGCTACATCTGCTGAATTGGCAACTAGGTCCAGGGACTCGTAGTTCTCCCCATGGAGTATGGAAAAGGCACAGTCCTCACAAATCTGATCAGCAAGGCCGTTATTCCTAAATGTTTCCGTGTTTTTCCCCAGTCTGATCTCTTTTATAGCAGAAATGTCAAGCTTTGCTTTCTCAAGATCTTTCTTAGAAGGTTCCCAGCGAAGAGCTTGGAGATCTGTGTCCAGAGTAAAAAAACGGTTGTAAATGCGTGAATTTGGACGTACTTTCTTTAGTTCACAGCCTGCTTGCATGAAGCTAATACAGTCACTTGCACTGCTAATTTTCTTTTCCGAGGGCATGCTACTAAAAGACACAGTTTTCTTTCTTCCACCACACTTTTGGTTTGAAGGATCCTGTAAAAGAAATTGAAAAATATTTCATTCATTTAGAAAACAGAAATTCAGTAATACCCTGCATTCCCCATACTCCATTTAAACACACTATTATTACTTGTACAAAGACAGCTCAAAAATTGACCATTCAACTATTTCATAAAAAACAATTATTACTAGGCAGAGGGATGTGGCACAAGTGGCACATGTCTTGTGTGTGAAAGGTCCTGAAGTTAAATTCACAGCACCTCAAAGCTCAACACCCTTCTCTACAGCAAAATGGACCCTCAGAACTCCCAAGAGTACTGAGCCCAAGCAATGCCCAGTGTGACCACACAAAAGTCAAGAAATAAAATTAAATTTTAAAATTAATTGCAGATAAAATTGCTGTGATTACATTTGGGGGAGACAATTATTTTCCAAATGCTTGTTTTTGAAATAAATAAAATATTCTTTATAAATCAACCTATTGATGAAAGTAGATTTTATAACACACATTTAACTGGTAGTGCCTTGTCAACATAGCTCAAATCCTTATAAACATGTGAAAGAAATAATTTTTTTCTCATTTACACATTTCAATGCTTTAAGAAAAAAGTTATTACAATTAATTTAACCACAAGATTTTTATCTTAGCATACTTCAATCACAGGTTTTTAGTATAACTTGAGGAAAATTACCTACTTCCTTTACCTATTTTAAATAATAAAAGTTTCTTGAAAATCAGATGGAGAGCTTAAAGCTTTTCAATTGACAATATTTTCAGATGTAGTAAAGAATTTTAATTAACACTAGGTGAATTCACACCTGCACTTCAGTACAAAGCTTCTAGAAGCCACAACTTAGAGTCAAACAGAAATATAAATGACTACACTCATTTTTAAGGTTTTTTTTCAATGTAAATTAACTAGCAGAGCTTTTTTGCTATAAAATTTCCTGGGAAAACTTAAAATTTGCCAGTTCTATAACCCTCAATTTATTTACACTGACCTCCTAATCAATGCCACTTAAACCTGATTTCTTTATTCATTCCAGTTAAACCATAGATGTGACTTGAGCATGTACCAAACTACACCATAAATTCAGATTACTTTCACAGGAAAAAATTTTCTAAAAATGCTCTAAGGCATATTTATACTGCCCATTTCACAAGCCTATTAGATGTAGTAGCAGTGTGTAACGAGCATAAAACATTGTTCTTAGGGCAAAAATAACTTATTTCAAGTAGTGCCTATTCTACTCACTAGGTATATAATATCAAGAAAACATTTTGTCTCTCCTAATTATAGCATCTGTTTTAAAGGAAATTAAAATGTAAATTTAAGGAATTTATAAAGCTTATATGTAGTTATATGTAGTAGATGAGGCTCATAAAATAATACACATAAATATTCATTGTAAGCATAAATGATGTAAAGTTATTCTAAAAGAAAAAAAACATTGCCTTATTCACTGGTCTCTGTTGGACTGTCAATAGACACCAAGCACAATATTAGGGATAAAGAAGAAATTAATATATGCATAACCTCTGAATATTTAAGAAAAATTTGTATAAAAACTGAATATGTTAAAAAATTGTCACTGAAAATTATAACCAGCTAAGTGATCTTAGCTGTCATACTCATGGAATTCTTGGCAAAGTAGAATCCCTTCTCCAGGGCCTCATTTAATTGATGTTTGCCTGCAAGAGTCTTCCTGTTCTATGATTAGGGAAAAGGCAGGATGATTTATTATTCAACTGACTAAAACATTGCCTGTGAAAAGGAAATCAAATTTGCTTTCATTATGAGAAACATAAAATACATACATATGTATGTACATACATATACAATGTTTAAGTAACAAAGGTATAAATTGATCAATTTAGATGAAATAATATTGTTTCTCAGTGCCCTGACATTAAAGATCATAGCTACTGCTTTTACTCCTTTTTCATGAAGTTGTTACTTTTAATTATCACATAGTAATCATTTTCCTCATCCTTAAATCAAAAATAAAAACAAAAAAACTAGAAATTTTCAGCTGCTTATACATAGATACACTATTAGAAGACATTGAAATTCGTCACAATCCACATGTTCAGAATAACTAATGCTGTGTGTGTTTTTCTAGGAAGGCAGGCTCATAATGGAATTGCTGAGATAGGATTGATCCCCTAGTAAAATTAAGAGGGAAAGTGTGAATTGTGATGGTAAATTAGACTGTGACTCAGCTGTGAAGGCTACCATTTGACTGGCCTTTTAAGTTAATGAGAGCTTTCACATTAATTATTTTTATAAAAGCAGATTATGTTCCAAATAGGATTACTGTCAACCAAGTTATAAAACCTCTAAGGCCTCTTGAAAAAATCTTAAATGATAAATTAGGGTTCCTCTGAATTCATGGGTATTGGTCTTATGTCATACATGTAGTTTTACACAAACCTTCAAGTCTAACATTCTTCAGTTGATTTGACCTATGTTTATTAAAAACAATAAAGTCAGATATTTATCTCTTGTTGTGCTATTAATATCTCCTTCAATTAATATGTTCTCTCCTAGTAAGTTAAGCTGTTAGGAGATAAGTGTTTAATGTTTGCCCCACAAAAGAACCCTCTTGACATATAATGCTTGTATCTCGCTTTGAAAGAGAAATTTACGGCATGATTATAAAGCTTATGTCAGAATGCCTTAAAATTTGGAACCAGTGGGAAAGATATGATCTTAGGTTGTCATCTCACAAAAGACAATAACCAAAGTTATTACAAGACCCCAAAAGGAGGAAAAAGCTGGCCATAGTTCATGTGAACAAATAATTATCTTGTCTGCCATTGACTAGGGCCAAGATAATTTATATTAAAATATGCTGGAAAAGTTTCAGGACACTGAAATTTCTCCAGATATGCTCTTTCAAAGGTCATGTTATGTATCAGCTCTGAAAAATTGTGGGGGCGAGGGGAGAAGATGAAATCAGTGTTAGAATACACAGGGCATGGAGGAGGGAAGAATCTAAATCTCTTTCTGAGCATCTTTACTATTCTGACCTCTTAGCCAAGCCCTACACCCACCTCCTTCTACAATTAAAAAAAAGATGCCATAATAAGCCAAATCAGTAAACTTGCTTCCATAATTATCCATTGTTATTTTCAAGAAGTTGAACAAATTGGATACAGTTTGTATCCAAGATAAAGTTCTTTAATCAAACTCAACAAGCAAAATCATCTTTTTCTCACATGCTAAGTTCAAGGGAACTCTGTTATTCAACATTAGCATCAGTTTGGGTCCCAATTATGATACTGTTGTATTATTTCAGTTTAACAATTTCTGGAAAAAAATATAACAAAAGACACACAAAAACATGAATATAACATAGGAAACAGCACTGTTCATTTTTAAAATGGCTAAAATAGTACATATTACACAAAGTACATTTTACAAGAGGGAAAAAATTTATACTGATACTTTGCACAAAAATCCAAGAATAAAGAAAGATCATACTCACAATTCTGTCTCTGACCTAACAAGAATGTTTAAACATCTAATTATATTGTCATGTAGTCTACATTTTTGGCAAGTTGCTTATAACTGAACAGTTCTAAGATACTTAGGTAAAACAAAACAAATTGCCAAACCCTGAAGAACAGCAGCCAAAACACCAGTTGTCAAACTAGATAAGGATTCTGTTTCATAATACGAAAATACAGCTACATAAATGCAGTTACACTAAAGTAGCTTTCATTTTTCTATTTTAATGTGTAAAGAGGGGACTTATTTCTGAAAAGTTCTCTTTAAAAAGTTACAACATAGTTAACATTGATGAGTAAAGGACAAATATATAGGCATATAAGCCATATGCCCACTGTAATGATCCCATCTCTTCTTATAGACAACTATAACATTATGCTAATAGCATCCATTCTTGTTCTATCATATTGTAACCAAAATTCAAAAACAAAATATTTGTTTGACACATGCAATCTACAGAGTACTATGACCATTACAGCCTAGAATTCAAATGAGCCTCAACCCTGAATATTGAGAAGTCTCTAGTCTGTACTGTTCATTCATTCAACAAAAAATAATATGCATTACTTTGTTTATAATGACAGGAAAATTGCAGTGATTTTGAGGAATCTGAAGTGGTTTGACACTTATTCATAGATAATACATAAATCAGTCTGAACATGTGTTGAAGGATTTCAGATTAAGAAATTTAAAGATTGTCAAAGAAGTGTCTATAACCACATTAAAGAAAAGTGATGATGAAGGCTAAACAGATTAATAATAAAAGTGAAGAAAAGATTTGAAAGAATTTAAAATATAGGATATAAGGTAATCCTTACTTGGGTCTAGGATGATTTATAGTTTTCTGGTTTGAAGTGACCCCCGCCTACTGGAATTTGGAGGATCTGGTTGGAGGATGCTCGACTCCAATCCGAGTAGGCTGGGAGATCTCCACCCTGGAACCCACGTGGATTTGTCCCTCTGCCAGTACCTTCATGTGTGCAGAGAGTGATCTCAGCATGGTGGTGGCTGGCCCTGGAGGTCTTCAGCTGCCGGAGCCCTGGTCGGGGTGGGGAGGAAAGCTCAACCCGCTCCCCTCCAACGGGCCTCGGCGAGGAACAGCCAGGCGCGGGGTCACACTCACCACCTGGCGCCGTGTAATCCCATCAACGGCCAAGACTCAGAGACTATAAAATCCAGCTCCCGGACGAGAACAGTGCAGTCTTCTTCCCCCGCACCTGGCTGTTCCTCACCGAGGCCCCTTGGAGGGGAGCGGGTTGAGCTTTCCTCCCCGCCCCGACCAGGGCTCCGGCAGCTGAAGACCTCCAGGACCAGCCACCACCATGCTGAGACCACTCTCCGCACACATGAAGGTACTGGCAGAGGGACAAATCCACGCGGGTTCCGGGGCCGAGATCTCCCAGCCTACTCGGATTGGAGTCGAGCATCCTCCACCCAGATCCTTCAAATTCCAGTAGGCGGGGGTCACACCCACCACCTGGCTCCCTGGCGCCGTGTAATCCCATCAACGGCCAAGAC